TTAACACGTTGGATTGTACATTTAGCACTAGGTCTGGGTGATCTCTCTGAGGAGGGTGGAATTGATGACTCCTCGCTCTGCCAGCCCCAGGTGGCCTGTGTGGATAGCAGGTGTCGCTGGGCTGGCCCATGCATTCAGAAGTCATAGTGCACATCTGATCAAAGCACATATTCCCCAACCCACTCAGTCTAGTGCCTCTCCTGGGGAAGAAGCCAACATTGACCTCCAATGCTTTAAGAAAAAGAAAGAAAAACTAATTATCAACCTACAGCAAATGTCATTCAACTCAAATCCCTGAAGGATAAAGGCGTAGGTGACAAATGTTCCTGAAGAGAGGGTTGAGCTTCACTTGTCTTTTTAATAGATCATCTATGTTTAACTATAGAATCACATACTGTTTCTCTTTATTGTATGTTTCAGATGAAGAAATACTGAATATCCACAAGCACAGGAGAATTGTATCATTTTTATAAACCCCTTGGGTTTGAACAGCATCCTAGTATCAGGGGAAGTGATAAGAGATTACTTTTATTGTTCCTAAAGTCTGTTGAGTTGCTTGTCCATAACACTTGCCTGCAGCTCTTACTTTTGATTAGACTCATTACATGGTGTTTTGTCTGCCTTTAACTGTAGGTGTTGATCCATGTTATATTTCAGAGAACAAGGTAAAGAACACTGGAAAGAAATTGAAAAAAGGTGGGTTTGTTTGGTTTAGTTTACTTTTTACATTGTGTCAAGAGAGAATATTCCAAATGTCTAGAAATTAAATAGACTCAAAAATACGAAATTTCTTGTAACCTGAAGTGCTGACCACTGTGATTGGCCTGGAAATGGTGCTAGGTGGTACTTGGGAAACTTGATGGTCTCAAATGTCTTTTTTGCTATAAGAGTTAAGGATTCTTTTCTGGCCTGGTCTCCTTATCTTCTTTCAAGGACAAAGGTCCATCCCTTTGGGGCTAGAACTTTCTAATAAATCTATCATTATTATTTACCCTCAAAAAGAAAAGAAAGAGTTAAGGATTCTTTTTCTTTTTACTTTTAACAGATCTACAAAAACAAATGCCTAAACTCCTTGTTTATTTACCCCATTTTCACTACATATCCGTTTATTCTTAACATTTTTTTACTCCTTTCATTTGTAGCAGTTATCTTTTTATTCATGAGAATAATAATGTTATTAAAATTTATATTACTAGTAAATATTCAGGGAGGGTTAACAACAAACCATTTTTTCAAAGATTATTTAGAGGAAAAGGAAATAGATTTCATTTGAAGCCTGGATGACTAGGGTTAGATAATAGGAAGACGTTTTAAAGGTGAATATTTTTTTTGTTTGTTTAGGATTATGTTTAATATTATTTCTTTGTGCGTGTGTGTGTCTGGATTTTTTTATTTTAAATAGCATTCAGTTTATTACAAATATTTAGTACTGGCTTCCCATATTTCCCCCCTTTTGTTTTTATCATAATTATGTTATTATCTAGATAAGCATCCTTTATACACAAACAAATTAAACATAATAAACTCAAAGAAATAATTTCAAAAATCTCCATATGATCAGAAGGATTCAGGTTGAATATTTCTTTTTTTTTTTTAATTAAATTTTATTAGTTTTAATGAACATTTACAGGGATTTTGGGTTTTCATTCCTTCATTGCTGCACCATTCTCTCTACCCTCCTCCCCAGTTTGTTCTTCTTCCCCGCCATCCGAATGTCTGTTTTAATTGTCCAATTGCCACAGTGCTTGTCAAAGTCAGTTCTGATTAATCTCCTTTGTCGGTGTGTCCTTTGCCAATTCCCTATCACTCCTCCCTGAGAGAGACTTCACCCTGATTCATAAGGAAAAGGGGATGGCGTATTCTCTTAGCTACTTCCTGCTGAAAAGGGACGCTGTGGGTTTCAGGGTGAAGATCTTCTCTCACTACTCTAAAGGGCCCCTTTGGCAGTAGGAAACACATAGACTATTATGGAGATTGATTTTGGAATTTAGATGCACTCTTATTGATTGTGCTTGGCCGTACATGTTCATATCCTTGAAGATGTATCATGGGGGTGTTGCAACCTAGAAGACACAAATTTGACTAACAAGTTATAAGTACATGAGTCAAAAATTATGGAAAAGTAAAAGAAAGGATTCTTTCATTGTTTTACAAACCATCCCCCAGGTCCCCTCCACCATGTAGCCCTCGCTCTAGACTCCTGTGATGACAGAAATACCTAGTCATATATCTCTTTTAAACAGTTTTCTCCCTCCTCTGTTTCACTGCAGTATACAAGGTTGAATATTTCTTGAAAGTTTGTTTTAATTGTCCGATTGCCACAGTGCTTGTCAAAACCAGTTCTGATTAACCTCCTTTGTCGGTGTGTCCTAATATTATTTCTTATAAATGCCTATGTTTATATATGCACATGTACATATTTATATGCATGTGTATCTTTTTTTTAATTTAGGTTGTTTATTTTTCATTTCAATGAACATCTACAGAGATTTTGGGATTCCATTCCTTCATTGTTGCACCCTTCTCCCCGCACAACCCCCCCCCCCCCGTTTGCTCCTCTCCTTGAAAAGCAAAAGAAAAACTCCCTCATTGGTACACAATCCCCCTAAAGGTGAATATTTAAATGCTTTACATTAGGATCCATCAATCAGTTCTGACTTGATGGATACCTATGTACAACAGAATGAACAACTGCCTTATCACATGCCTCCTGTATCCTTTGTCAGCACTGTATTCATAAGGCTTTTACATATTGCTTCAATAATTATAATAATAGCTTGAAATTTCATCATACCTTTCAAGTAGGGCTCTCATTACACTAGGAAGCTTCTTGCTGCCCTCTTGTGAAAAGCTAAGTAAAGTTCCCAATTAGCATACTAAAAAAAAAGTTAAGTGATTTTCATCTAAAGTCTATAGAGACTTTTTTCCCATCTCAGTACTTTTATATCTTTTATAGATTCTCAAGCATAATTACTAATGATAATTTATCTTTTTGGTGTCTGAGTTTAATATGAAATATTAATTTATTTGATTACTTGCTGTTGAATTTTGCCAAATTGCCTCCTAAATGCAAATCTAAGTTAAAAATAATTTTTAGTGAGGTCATCTCTACAATATTTCATTTCAAGTTACTTTGGAGTTGAGCTGTTCCCTTTTCTCTCAAAGCAAAATCAGAAGTTACACAAAGTAATTGAGTTTGATTTAAGAATATAAGTTCCAACTCTCCAACGTGGAGGGGACTTGTTAGAGCCTTCAGTAGAGACACTAGAAGGTTCTTAGCTTAGACAAGACTGAGACTGCTGCTAGCAGAGGCTACTTTAAGCCTCCTGAACAAGCTTGAAAACAGGCTGATCCTAAGGTAACTTAACTGCATGCTAGAAAGTATTTATTACCGGAAGTCAACAAGATCTAACACTAATGATGTCTTTTGTACCGTCGAGTCAGAACTGACCCATAGTTGACCCTCTGGTGGGTTTTCTGAGTTCAGATAATCACGAGAGGAGAGTGCCCATCCTTCTCCCACAGAGCAGCTGGTGGATTTAAGCCACATGCCTTCAGGATTGCGTCACAGCTTCCTGCCACTAGGCCATCAGTGCTCCCTCCCAACAATGTCTAGTAACCAATAAAAAAGCACAAAAGGAAAACAGAAGAGAAGAATGAGAGCAGAGTGTGGTTGTGGAGTTAGAGTGAGAAAGAGTCATTTCTTAGAAGATGTGTTCTTTGTGCACAGACTTTTTCATTGAAGTTTCATCCTTTTAGGACTAAGATTATTCTTTCTTCCAAACTACATGAAAAAATAGTTGTAGCACCTTAATTCCTCTGGAAATAGTATGAGGGCAGAGTGATTAAAGAATTATAGATGATACTATCCCTTTATCCCAAACAAGCATATACACACGAAGCAGGTATTTGGGATCTGTCTTGACAGGATACGTAATACAAATTTGGCCAGTAACAGTGTCCAACTGTAGAAATTAAAGTTTTAACCAATGTTGGATGTTGTTGTTGTGTACTGTCGTATTGGAACTGACCAATAGCTGATCCTCCAGCAGGTTCCTCAGAGACAGTTAATTGCACGAGAGGTGTAGATTGCCCATCCTTCTTGCATAGAGCAGCTGGTGGCCTCGAACCATGTGCCTTTGAGATTGAAGCTCAGCTTCTTGCCTCTAGGCAAAGCACCTTTTATTGTAGATTATTAATGTATTTAAGAATGAAAAAGATAACAACATTGTTTTGTACATCGGAAACAAACCCTTAGAAAATATTTTTTCAAAAAGATTTTTGTTCCAATAGCAAACAAAACTATATAAGATGCTAAGAATAGATCTAACCAAAAATTTTGCACAACTTTAATAAATTCTAAAACTTTATTGATGGACATTTAAGACAAGCAAAATAAATGTCATGAAACAGGAGAGGAGCCAAAAGACTGTTAAATATTTTTAAAATAGTTATCTGAATAAAACATAATGCATGGAAATGGTTGTATGAAACACAAAATGAATGAACGATAGTGTGAAACACAATGTATACAAACTCTGTGAACAAACCAATATAAAAAAAGTTGTCTGAAAAGTGGTGGGTAGTTGTTATGAGAGCAAGTCTAAATTTATATAAACATGGAAATTAGACCATTAATTTAGAGCAATTATATATCTCTAGGTCTTGCCACAAACTTAACTCCCATTTCTTGGGAATTTCATCTCGCTGAATTTCATGGTATTTGAAGTACTCAGTGCTGTTTCTTCTCCATGGAGAGCTCTCTTCATGTCCTTAAACCTCCTTGGTGCTCTTGTACATTCCTGTCATCAGCCAGTACTGTAATGTTGTGGTTATTTTTATTAATTTTTATTCTTTGTCACTCATGTATTTGGTAGAAAAAAGAATGCAGTAAACATGTTCAGAGTTGTAGGAGAAATTAAAAAAAAAAAAACCCAAACACTCCATGTTTGTACAAGGCTCTCTGTATTTACATCTGGGCAGGGCAGGGCAGTCCCATTTCAGCTGCAGCAGCTACACTTCTCTGATGCCCCTTTGCAGATGCAGCCCTGGGCACAATTGGCAGGGCCCATGGTGCAGTAGGAGCAGCAGCTCTTTTTGAAGGAGGTAGATTTGCTCTTTTTGCATTTGCAGGACCCAGCGCAAGTGCAGGAGCCCCCAGCAGTGCAGGAGCAGTTGGGGTCCATAGCAAGTTAGAGTAGTAGCTGCAGTCCCCCGTAGACCGTAGAACAAGTAGTGATGCTCTGGACAGTTACCATATTATATTTTAAAGGCTCATATGAATATATTCTCAGTCTTTGAGCTCTTTGAGGTCAGAGACCATGGGAATATATCTATATCAGAATGGTTAGGAACACAGACTTAGGGAAGGGTATCTGAGCTCTAATCCTGCCTCCCACTGATATTGACGTTAGCTGATTTGGACTGAGCAACCCTATATGTCAAAGGAGCTCTCGTGCTTGGTGGTAAGGAATTGTACTTTCCACTCAAAGGTATGTGGCTCGAATCCACCAGCCACTCTGTGGGAGAAGGATGGGCAGTTTTGACCATTTTTTACCGAATTGTCCGCTATAAGCTGGTTACAACTCGATGGTACACAACAACAACGTCCAAGGTCAGAGTAGAATTGCCCTCTAGGATTTCCAAGGATGTAAATCTTTTAGGAAGCAGATTGCCACATTTTTCTTCTAAAGAACAGCTGATGAGTTTAAACTGCTAGCCTTTGGGCTAGCTGCCAAATATTTAACAGCTACACCACTAGGGCTCTTCTAATTCTTCCTATTTTCTGTACAAATCCTTCCTATTTTCCTATTTTGATCAAGTTATATAACCTAACCTATCTGTGCTTCATTTGTTCTTTCCTCTCTAAAATAGAAATATTAAATATACTTAATGTTATGGGATTGGTGAATGTTGACTATACAGTGGCTTGCCACAATAACAAAGAAATCTGTCTGGGAAGAAGTGTAACCATAGTGCTCCTTGGGAGCAAAGATGGTGAAACTTTTTCTCATGGACCGTGACCATGTTTTCAGGAGGTGCCTGTCCCTGGAGAAGGACATAACACTTAGAAAAGTAGGGAGTTAACAAAATAGAGCCTCAATAAGATGTATTGGCACAGTGGACACAGCAGAGAGTGAGCATGGAGCAGGGTTTTATTGTGTTATTGCACGTGGATTTTTGTGAGTTGGAGTGGACTCGACAGAACCGAACAACATCACTCAGGGCATTTTAAAGATTTTAAGTGATGATTATATGACGTATGTAACAGAACCCAGCATGTAATCACTACTTAAAAATGTTAGTAGCACAAACATTCCAGTTGGTGTGCTACTACTGATTGTTGTCATTGTGAACTAACATTGTTGTGATGTCAGTCAAGTGGAAATGAACTTAACAGGATACGTTATAAAATGTGCAGAACAGAGTACAAGTTGTTTAGAGTAAGAAGTGGGAGGTACGATGTTAATCATCACCAAGCAAAGTTGTCTCTTAACTGGGACATTTGACGTTTCCTTAAGAGAGACCATTACTGTAAAAAATAGAAGGATAACTAATACAATGCATATAAAGGTCCAAAAGAGGAAAGGGGAAAGAGATGGAAAATGAGGAACGAGGAAAATCCCCAGGATGGCGGAGTTTAGAGTTTAGTGGACAGATCACGGTAGAAGGTGAAGGAATAGGAAAGATTTAATGGGGATTTGAAAAGATGGGTTAATACTAGGCATAGACCAATTAGTAATTAATTTTATAAAAGATTGTAGGAGATACAATGTAAAGGAATGACTGTATAAAACACAGTGTCTATGAATGAAACACAATTTCTGTGAATTATTGTATGGAAACTAATTTTGAAATGTGTAGTCAGACCAGTACTTTCCCATGGCAATGTGCTTTTTAATTTCCTGGCTACTGGTGCCAAGAGTGTTGACTGTGGAGCCAAGCAAACTAAAGCTGTGAACAATCTCAATCTCTTCACGATCCATCCTGATGCTGCCGATTGGTCCAGTGGTGAGAATCTTTGTCTTCTTGACATTGATTGAGCCTCAATCCATATTGGAGGCTGCAGTCCTTGAACCCTCTGCAGCAAGCACTTTAGGTCCTCCTCAGTTTCAGCAGGCAGGGTTGTGTCATCTGCATAACGCAGACTGTTGATAAATAGTCCACCAATCTTGACCCCACATTTCTCCTCATAGAGCCCAGCCTCCCGGATAATCTGTTCTGCATACAGGTTGAAAAGGTATGAAGATAGGACGCATCCCTGGTGTACGCGCTTCCCAATTTTGAACCATGCGGTGTTTCCTTGCTCTGTTCTGACGACCTCCTCCTGGTCCAAGTATAGGTTTCGCATTAGAACGATCAAGTGTTCTGGGATTCCCATTCTTCTCAGAGTCAGCCACAGTTTGTTATGATCCACACAGTCAAACGCCTTTGCATAGTCAAATGAAACACAGATATACTTTCCTCTGATATTCCCTGCTTTCAGCTAAGATCCATCTACCATCAGCTACAATATCCCTAGTACCACGAGCAGTGGTGTCCCTCTGGAGACTAAGGTGCGTCTGATACAGGCCATGGTCTTTGCAGTCACTTGTTATGCATCAGAGAGTTGGACAATGACCAAGGAGGATAGAAGAATTGATGCCTTTGAGCTGTGATGCTGGAGAAGAGTATTGAGAGTACCATGGACTGCTAAGAAAACAAACAGATTCATCCTGGAAAAACTGGGTGGCTCCTTGGAGGCAAGGATTGTGAGGCTTCATCTAACGTACTTTTGACATGTTGTAAGGAGAGACCAGTCCTTGGAGAATGGCATCAGGCTTGGGAGGGTGGGGGGACAGCACAGGAGGGGAAGGCCCTCTATGAGGTGGATTGATTCAGTGACTGGGTTAATTGGGATGGAAGTGTCAGAGATAGTACGATTGGCACAGGACAGAGCAGAGTTTAGGCTGTAGTACATAGGGTCGCTATGAGTCGCAAGCGACTCGACGGCACATAAGAACAACAGCAGTCAGACCAGAAAATCCTGCTATTCAGGTAACTACACCGGACTGGTGGACAGTGAAGTAACTAGTGTGAAAGTTACGGAGGTGCTGCTACAGCTGTTGACTTGTATAGCAATTTTCTTAATATTTTAGCCTCCAAACTATGAATGCAAAAAGATAGAGAACTACTAATCTTTGTCTGTAGTCATATTCAATAAATGCATGTTGAAAGAACAATTTTAGTAGAAAAGTGCAACAATGAATGAATGGAAATCCAAAGTCTCTGTAAATTCTTATTGAAATTAATAATAAATTTAAATAAAACAAACAAAAATAAAAAAGAAAACCATTTTAAAAGAGAAATAGCTCTCATTCTTGGTGTATCTTCAGAGGTAGCAAAATAGTGAGCACATAGAAAGTCTACAGTTAAAAGCTTTTTCTGGAAGTGAAGTCATCTGCATTGCTTATGTATCTTAGCTAGAATTGCTGATAGTTATTACATTTAACCAATTATTTACATGTACTGAGGATTATTTTGTTTTCATAGCAACACTAATCTTTCATTTCATGGATTTTGATATGTTTAAATATACAGCTTTGTTAAGTGTTTTCGCATTTAAGCTACACATAAATCTGATCTACTTAGAGTAAATCTAATTGCATCCTGACTTCCTGGGATGGATATTCAGTCATTAAACAAAGGGAACACTTTTCAAATAATTATTCACTGTGTTTAAGTAATCAAAGGACTATACTTATTGTAATTCAAGGTATAGTGGGTTTGTTTTCTATAATGGTGCATAGTAAATACAAATTATGATGTTCTTTTAATTAAAACAATTGAGTTTACAACATTTCTTTTGAGGTATATCATAATAATGTTTCAGTTGCCAAGTTTTATTATTGTTTGTCAAAAATATTGATTAGCTAAGAAAAGAAAAGAGAATAATATACAAGAAGAAAAAACTGAATTTATTTTTTAAAAAAGAAACAAAAAATATTGATTAGTTAGATTTTTCAGTCAATTCTTCAGCAGGAATAGGCACAGGAAGGAAGGACTAACTTTTTTAGTACGTCAGATTAGAGGTAAAAACTGTATAACTGTGTGTCTTTATTAGAGAAATTCAAATTCCATTGCTTTGTAATTCTGTTAAATTGAGGTATGGTTTGGAGCCAAGGGCTTTTTACACCTCTACATTTGATTTTTGTTCAGCTCTATATGTTACCCTTTTCAAAACCAGCTTTATTAAGATGGAATAAATAATCTGCAAAATTCACAACTCTGTAGATGTTTGGTATTTTCAGAGAATTGTATAACATCACCACAATCTAATTTAAAACCGTGTACTAATTTAAAACTCCTACCAGTTCCTCTCCCTTCCTCCTGATCCCCCTCTTCTCCATGCTTTCACTCTAAACAACCATTAACCTACTTTCTGTCCCCATAGATTTGCTTGTTCTGGTTTTTCATAGAAATGGAATCATACAGTATATGGTCTTTGTCACTAGCATCTTTAGTTTAACATTTTCAAGGTTCACCCTTATTGTAGTATGTATTAGAATTTCATTGTTTTTATTGCTATTCTGGTGGCCCAATGTCAAGAAGCTGCACTGCAATCCTGAAGGCAGCTATTTGAGGCCACCAGCTGCTCCTGGGGGAAGGATGGGCAGTCTCCTCCCTTGTGATTTACTGCCTTTGGAAACCTGCTAGAGGGTCACCTGTGGGTCCGTTCTGACTTGACAGTACACAAAAACAAAAACAACAACTGTATTCCATGATACAGATGCACCATAGTTTGTTTATGCACTCCTCAGCTGATGATTATCTGTAGTGTTTCCACTTGGGGAGAGTTATGAATAATGCTCTTGTGAACATTCGTGTTCAAGTTTTTGTGTTATCACCATTGTAATCACTATTTTGATATGGGAGAGTGTTATAAGATTTATATTAATATCATTGTAACTTCATGTGATTAGTACCTCACACAGTAGGAATTCTAGTTATTAGTTATTAAAACTAGTTATTAGTCTCTCTTTTGTCTTTGAGTCATTAGGGGCTGAGTGGACAAGCCAAAACATGGCACTTTAGGAAACATTCCTCATAGTGTTAGACTCCTCTTCAAGGGATGAGAGTTTGATATTTCATAACTTGAGCTAGAATGCAGAAGAATGGCTTATTCTAAGTCCGTTTCCAGTTAATT